AAGATGAATGAATGTGTACAAAAGTATCAAACCAGGATTTACACTCATGTTATGCTCCATGGAACAGTTCTAGCATATGTTTAGGTGAGCATTCCAGGTGTAATATATTCACACCACTCTAGGACTTGTTTTGTTTTGTTTTTGGTGGTGCTGGGGATCAAACTCATGACCTCACACTTGCCAGGCAAGTGCTCATGCCACTGAGCTAAATCCCGGACTAGGATTTGCTTTTTAAAAAGTTTTATTTTGATTTTTTTTCTGGTAGAAGTAGCCCAGTTCAGTACAATGGCATATAAAAAAACAGATTTGAAAGTTTTGAGAAGGTCAGAAGTGAATGATCAGATTACTCATGCATGGATTATAAAGGTGATCCATTTATGGTAAAATACATGCTTTCATAGAAGAGTGATGTGAGTGGATGATGACGATGACAATGGCAACAAGGATGACAACGTGCACCAGAGTTCCTGTGATAGTGACATGGAGCAAGAATCAACTAATATGGACACAAGGAATGCAGCCCTCGATTCACATGACCAGATAGGACAATCCAGTGTTAGAACTAGGTCTGTAAATACAGTGAGAGCCTTGGCAAGAGCAAAATGTATTGGACGCATGCCAACACTGCGATTCAGTGTTAGAAACTGTAACAGACAAAATGCTACAAGATGCTGTGAAATACACAGAGCTGGAGATGCAAGTAAAATGTTCAGTATGCACAAATCAAAAATGTGTTTATTATGACACCTCACTAGCTGAACTGCAAGCATTTATAGGTCTCCTGCAGGGACTTCTCATGGTAATCACAGGAATGTAAAAGTTTATGGAAAAGCAAGGGATCAAAATATGGCATAAAAATTTATGCCCTTACAGGTACAAAAACTTTGTTATGCTTTCAGTTAGAAATTTATCCTGGGGACTGGGGATTTAGCTCAGTGGCACAAGCACCTGCCTGGCAAGTGCGAGGTCCTGAGTTCAATCCTGTTACCACCCCCCCCACCCCCCCAAAAAAAAGTGAAAAAAAGAAATTTATCCTGAAACTAAGCCATCAAGTTCTTATTTGTACAGAATGACATTGTCTCCCAAACTAATCTGAATGTGACATTTGACAGTTGATTTACTGGTTTCCAACTGATGTTACATTTTCCTAACAGAGCATAAGTTGACTATTCCAGGAACCATATGCAGAAAAAAAGCAGAAGTTCCAAATGAAATATTGCATTTTCAAAACAAAGAATTGTATAGTACAATCTTTGGATTTCTGAGAGATTAACATTGACCTTGTATATGTCAAACAAACAAATAAACAAACAAAACAAAACTGGTACTACAGATGTCAGCATTGTACCATGATGAAAATATTGATAGGGAAACCTCAACCAAACAGAAGCCTGAGATCGAAACTTTATATAACAAAACCAAAGGCAGAATAGATGTTTTTGATGGGTTGTGTAGCAACTGTGATATCACTGAACTATGAAACAGAGAACATTGGCTAGTGATTGTGTTTTACTCAATCCTGAACAAATGTAAATAGTTTTATAATTTACAACAAAAACAGCAAGTGAAAAATAACACAGAGAAATTCTCTGGGAGGATTAGGACTGGAACTCAGATCATTTATAGCAGAGGAAAAACTACACAAAAAATATTGTGGACTGCAGTGGTGAGCTCACAGATGAACAGGAAGGTGCAGTATCTGAAAGACCTACTATGATAATAGGGAAACCAAAAAGAGATCAACTGTGCCCCACAGGAAAAAACAGAAAACAAAGCATACATGCCATCAGTGTAAGTGATACTTGTTTATGGAACATGCAGTTGTCATGTGTGAATTCTGCCTTGGGTGTGACAGTTGAAGCAAGACTTTTGTTTGTTTTTTTTTGAGACAGTTTTACTATGTAGTTCTGGCTGGCCTCGAACTCACTTTGTAGCCCATGCTGGCCTCAAACTCACAGAAATCCTTTTGCCTCAGCCTCCTGAGTGCTGGAATAACAGGCATGCAGCCACCACATCTGGCTAGCAAAGATTATTTTTGTTATAAGGTTCTGTTGGTATTTTCATTGTAGTTCACATTGATTTGTATTTCTGAATTAACTGTTAGGTTTGTTAAGCAAACCTAATATCAACAGCTGATATGAAAATGCTGGTGTTTGTTCTAAGCACTCATTACACGTTTAATATTTTATTAATTTATTTCACTGCTAAGTGCATATCCCAGCATAATAGAAAGTTCCTAACAAAACAGGAAGAGAAGAGAAATGTTGCAGTTTCAAAACAGAGAATCGTATAGTGTAGTCTTTGGATTTCAGAAAGATTCAGAGAACAGAAATGTTACAGCTTCAAAACCGAGAGTTGCATAGTACAATCTTTAGATTTCAGAAAGATTTAGAAAGAAAGAGTGGTCTGCCACGTAGGAAATGCTGTCAGTGCAAGTGATACTTGTGCATGGAGCATGCAGTTGTGTGAAGAGTGCCTTGGGTGAGAGAGTTGAAGCAAAGATTTTCTGTGGTAGACTTTTGTTTGTGTTTACATTGTGGCTGACATAGGCTTTTATTTCTGATGTTATCTCTTATGTTTTGTAAGAAGCCGACGTGAAAATGTTGATGTATATTCTAAGCACCCATTACATATTTGGTATTTTGTTGACATTTTATTTTCTTATTAGTTGTGGTAATAGAAGTAAAAATTTTTTGGGTAGAGTGCTATTGATACTTTCATTGTAGTTCCTATAGAAATTTACTTCTGATGTTATCTTTTAGGTTTTGTAAGCAAGTACACGGCTGATTTGAAAATATTGGATGTTTATTCTAAATGCGCAATACATACTAAGAATTTAATGCTTTATTTTATTAATATTTTGTGTTTTTGTTACCTACACACTGCATAATGTAAGAACCTTCTAACAAAATGCAAAGACTAACCACAGATCAAGCATGTCCTACAAAAAGGCCAGGAAAACTATTACATGTGCTGTCAGTGTAAGCGATGCGTATGTATGGAATGTGCCATTATCATGTGTGAAGACTGCCTTACGTGTGACAGTTGAAATAAAGATTGTTTTTTCTGTAGAGCACTACTGGTGATCACAAACTCTATACACCAGAAACCAGTTGATGTTGAAATTTTTGGTGCTTTTTTCTAAGCAGCCAACAGATATTAAAAATGCAACATTTTATTTTTTGTGATTTTTTTTCTTGTTAAGCACTCAGTGTTTAAAAAGACTTCAAAATTAAAATTAATAATTCATCGATAGAAATATTCTAAAGAATAAGTGGGGTAACACTCCCTTGATTATGCTGTGAAATGACAAAAAGCACGTTAGGTCCTGGGGGATTAAGGAACGGTCACCGAGGTGGAGTGTAGACTAGAAAGTGTTCTGAGTGCTGCACGTCCCCAAGGCCTTTCAAGGGCGTGGTCATGAGTTAAAGTGAGAGCAGTCCATAGATGGTTTTTCTCCAGCTGCATTCACCTGCACAGATACAGGAACGGGACAGCGGAGAACAGGAATTGTGCCAGGGTTGGAGTTCTGCCTGTCCACTGTGACAGGTGAAAGAGAGGATAGGACATGGAGGGTGGATGCAAGCTAGTGCTTAGGATAGGATGAAGGACTGGCATTTAAAGTAGCTAAGAAAGAAGTGAGAGCAAGATGGTAGTGCAGCTCCTAGGATCTATGGCTTGCTGTCCGAGCGGCCAGAGATTTGCTGGAGATGGGGGAGCAGAGGTGGACTGGGCTGAAAAGACAAAGCTGGGTGGCAGGGGTGGAATGTTGAAGTTTCAGTGGGTGGAGAGGTTGCACTTGGTTAAGTCCAGGGTTTATCCCAGGAGTCGTGTTTTAGTTACTTCTCACATTGCTATGACAAAATACCTGATGCCCAAAGTTGAAGAAGGAAATCTTTATTTAGGTCACAGTCTGTAGAGGTTTCAGTTCATAATAATCAGTTGCCTCCAACACAGGGTGGGGTGGCAGGCAGGCATCACAGAGAGGAAACCATTCATGATGGACAGAAGTAGCAAAGCAAGCAAGAGACTTTGTTGGCTTCTTGCTACCCCTTTTGTATTCTTTCCAGGTTACTGGGATTACCAGTCAGCGGACTGATTTAGTAATCACCCACCCTTAATCCTGTCATCCTCAATTCTAGCATTGCACCATGAATCTTTCACACACGCTAGATCCAGCTACCTCTGAAAGAGCTCCATCTATGGCTACCTGAGGCTTGCTGGTGGTGGTGGGGTGGGCATCTAGACACAAGCCACAATGGGTGGCTAAGCAAGGGAGGTGGATAATGAAAAGCCAGAGGCAGAAGTGTGTGAAGCAGTAAAATCCTGTGGCACGGGGCTGGTGACTTGAGGATCAGTACATAAAGCCTGGAGGGACTCTGGATGAAATAGTCTGATCCTGAGAATTTTCAGAGAGAGAGGAAGAAAACAGTCAGGAAATGGTAGAGAAGAGACGAGGAGCGCACTACTCCATCCCTGGGCACAGGAGGCCAGGTTAAAGGAGAGAGAAAAGTCCCTTTCCTTCTTTAGAGAAGTAATGCTCCTACTGAGGCCCTGTTGCAATGAGAGCAAGAAGATAACTGAAAATTTAGGGAGAAATTCTGGGGAATGGCTTTCAGGAGATGGGAAAGGTAGGCAAAGAAGATGGAGCAGAGAGTGCTGAGCTTCTCACAGGAATTTGGATGTGGAAGGATGGAAATGTGGAACTTCTCATACATGCAATAAACCGAAGAAGAGCGTAGTGAAATCATCCTGTTATAAGGACAGATGAAGTCTAGGCATGGTGGTGCACTCACCTATAATCCCAGCATTTAGGAGGAGGCAGGAGGATCTTCATGAGTTTGAGGATGGCCTGCACTACATAGGGAGACCTGGTCTCAAAAAAAAAATGAAAAACAAATCCCGTAAAGACAGATGGTAATAGTGGGGATAGTTTTCTGCCGAGTGTATGGAATAAATGCCCAGAATCTTAGATATCTTTTCCAATTTTTAATTTACAGATCATTAGTGATTATCAGCACTTTAGATGGACGAATTTCTGCCTTGGATGCTGAGAATCATGGTAAAAAGCAGTGGGATTTGGACGTGGGATCTGGCTCCTTGGTTTCATCCAGCCTTAGCAAGCCAGAGGTAAGAATCCTTTATTAACTGTTGACTAGAAAACCCAGCCATAATCAGCAGTTGCTGATGGATTTGCTAATAAAGCTTGGGCTTAGGCCCTGTTGCCTGGGATTTTAAGACTTGCTGCAGCTGTAGCCCCTGGGACAGTTACCCAGCTTTCTGTCCTTCCATTCCCCTCCTGTAAAACAGGGTGATTAAGAGCACCGGCTTCGTAGGATTATTTTGGGCATTAAATGAGCTGGTCGTGTAAGTGAGTAACTGAGGAACACTATCTGCTCTGACAGTACAGCACATTACCTGATCTATTACACAGTCATCATTTTTCTTACCACAAGATTTCTAGGAATAACCAGGTAAATATATATAAAAATTGAGTTTTACTAGAGATTCATACTGCAAAATATCATAAAATAGTATTCCCTCCATTGTCTCTTAAGTACATCCTAATCGTAAGCATAATCCACTAGAAACTTTCTTGGAATAGAATTCTTCATAAATTTGATCATTTGCAGAACATTTGTACGTCATATCTTTGAGCTCTAGAATGGTAGGAAATAGGTGCAGGTTCAGAGAGATCCCACTTCCATTTCTACTCTGGCTCAGGACTAGAGACTTGAGCAGGTGGCTTAGTCTCTCAGAGCTTCCAGCCCTCATCAATAAAGTGGGAATACTGGCTCCTTCACAGAGGTGGGACTCAGTGAGGGGAGGGTGGCATAGGAACCTTACTTCCCTCACCTGTAGTCTGGGCTCTGCTGGATTAAGTCCCCTTTTCTGGAGCTTTATTTTGTTTTAATCATTTACAGCGTTCTTTTTCGGGGGTGTCTTTTTTGAGACAGGGTCTTGCCATGCAGTTCAGGATGGCTCTGAGCTCACTTCGTAGCCCAGGCTGTTGTTGAACTTGCAGCAATCCTCTTGCCTCAGTCTTCTGAGTGCTGTTTAAATCATTTAAAAGTTGATGCATCTTTTGATTTGTGACTGCTAACAGGGAACAGTTGCCTGTTTTTTAGAATGCCCTCTGCCTTCTTCCCACCATACGGAGTCACTTCTGCACTACACTCCCTGTGATAGTCTTTTATTTCATCATCTGTCTTTCTTTTTGAAAAGCTTCTTGCTGTCATTAACTTGAGGAAAGACAAAGCCCAACATAAGAGGTGTGAGGGTGACCTGAGTGGTGCTGCTAGAACTTTCGAATGAGTGAGTGGCTCCCTGCAGCCCGGCTGCAGTAGACTCCCTGTGCTCTCCGTGAACACAGCCCAGTTCTTTTCAGTGGCACCAAGGTGGGTACTGAGGGAAACGGCAGAAGGCCCGCTGGTCATCAGGCCACGTACCCAAATATTTTTTGAAAATAGTGAGCTTCCATTGTATTGGGACTTTCTAATGCAAATAGCAATTTGAAATTATTTTAAAAACTTGAATTAGAATTCAGACTTTCTGAATGAGACTCAAATGAATTGCTACTCCAGATATATTTTTTGGCTTTTTTGTCTTGTTAGAATTACGCTTGGGTTTGCGTATTTTGCTTTGTTTCTGAACTAGACATAAAAGATGATCAGCAAAATGAGAAGATTGTAAGCTGGTTACATCTGAGGTAATTATTCAGTGTTTTGCTTGCATGCCTGTGTTTGCAAACCAAAACATACACGTGAAGATATTTTGCATGGTGTAACAAAGTAGAATGCAAATAGTTGTAATAACTCAGGTGCTATTGAGTGTATTTAATTGTAAGCACCTAGTTACACTCAAACATTTTCTTACAAATTGCAAATATCTGACTTGCATTTTTTGGTTTTGTTTTGTTTTATAGCACTGGGAATTGAACCAAGGGCCTTTATACTGAGCTGTGTCTTCAGCCCTTTTTCATTTTTAAAACACAGTCTTACTAAGTTGCCTAAGCTGGGCTCAAACTTGAGATCCTCCTGCCTCAGCTTCCTAGAATCCTAGGATTATAGGTAGGCACCCCCAAGTCCAGCATGTTACTGTTTAGCTTACTGTTTTCTGGGATGTCTTATTTAAGTATCCTGTCTCCCACCTACCCCTAGTCATAGATGCTTTAGGTTAAATGCCTTGAAATGCTGACTTGCAAGCACATTTAAAAGTTTTATTGTGCATCTTTATGTTGAAAAATGAAAAACTCAACAGTTTTTCATGTAAGAAAACTCCTTAGTTGTTTTTCATGCATTTTAATTTTCTGTTTTAAAGAAATGATATCTAGACATTGAACTTGTGTAACATAAGTTACTAGATTTTACGTTGCCTCAAGTTCTCAGGACCGTGTCTTGAGAACATGGGTTTTGTGTACAGATATGCTCTTGGCAGCTGTGTTCCTAGCACTGTCGTATGTACTGTACTTGCTTTCCTTACAGTCAGTGCAGTCCTCCTGGTAATCCTGCCCTGTGGATGTGTTGGTCTCATTTTGTAAAGGAGAAAAACTAAAGCTCAGAGAAGTTTTTTACTTAAAGTTATAGACCTATCTTATAAGGCAAAAATTGAATACAGGCTTACCCAACCGTACTGTGGTAGTCTGGTATTAAGCCTTTTCCCTGTTTGTGTGTCTCTCCTCTATAATCTCCCGCTGTTCACATAGCACAGTGAGTCTCAAGCTGTTCGTAGGCTCTGAGGGTTTCAAAGAGATTTTTCCTCCATAAGCTCTATCCATATTTATGAGATTCAAAATTAAAATAAAATTTTTAAAAAATTATTGGTTTGTTAAATCATAATAAACCTATTGCACAATAGCATAGTATTTTTGTCAATAATTTTTTCAGTACAAAAAATTTAATAAGAAAACTCACATTGTTTTACATGTCTTAAAATCTCTAATTTCTGGTTTAATAGAGGATAACTAGATTGTCATACTTGCTTCTGTGTGAGATATTTTGCCATGTTGTTTTTGATTGAATTATGTGAAGTAGAACTGTAGCCACATAGATGTGTAGAGGGAAAGAAAGGGACATTTTAGAAGTCTTTTCAGATAAGTGTAGTCATTCTGCTTTGATGATCACCATGAAACAAGTGGAGGTCTCTTAAAAGTTGTTTGTATTGTGGTTTTAACCATAACAATGAACATTTTGTACTCAAGCTAATTAGCATCCTTCTCTTGCCTTTTACTGACATGTAATTTCTAACTTTATTTGGAGAATATGGATTTACTGGATTACATTGATCTTCCAAATGTTGACATGTCTAATTCTAATATTTTAGAATATTAATTTGAGCCAGGCATGGTGGCACAGACCTGTAATCCTGGCACTCTGGAGGCTGAAGCAAGAGGATTACCAAGAGTCTTATGGCCAGGACAAACTATGTAGTGAGTTCAGGACCAGCCTAAGCTACATATTGAGAGCCTGCCTCTCTCTAACTAATAAAATAAAAAGAAAAAATAAATCAAATTAATATTGTCAGTGCTGATTTTATCTGAAGTCTCTGGGGTGTGTGTGTGTACAAGTGTGTGCTTAGGGTGAAACCCAGGTTCCTGCCCGTGCTAAGCAGTGGCTCCGACACTGACCCACGCCCCTGGAAAGTCTGTGCATGCTGGAAAGTTGGCAGGCCACGCCGGAAGAGCTTTCCAAAAATCTGATTTTCACTTGAAAACTTGAATTTTACCACACATACTGTCAGAATTTTACCACATATACTGTCAGAAAACTTGTTTTCTTTGACGTGAGAAATCCACTTTGTCCATTTCTGAGAAAATGTCTGTTATATAAGTCTCAGTTGATTTTTGAGTAAAAACAGAGCCTCAGGAACAAAACAGCTAGTTCAGCTCACGACAGCCCCACAGGTACTTTTGCTCAGTGAGTGCGTCAGTTTATATTTCCTGATTAATCATGCACAATAGCAAAAAGTATAAACTCAGTAGTAAAATTAATCATGTTTGCTGCTTCATCAAGACCATTCTTAAGTGGAGCGGTCTCTTTTTGCATCTTGTTGCAAGTGAGTGACAGTGAGCATTGCACCTATCAGTTTGGTGCACAGTTCATGTGAAGGCACCAGCAACCTCTTATATAGCATCAGTGCAAATAAAACAGAGTGAAATGGTCAGTAACATCTCATTATGGAAACTGTTTGACCTTCTACAGTTCTCAGAGAACCTGCAGGCCACACTCTGAGAATTGCTCATTTAGTATGTAATAGAAACAATATTTGTGAGATTATGAACATACTAGTAAGAAGAGGGGACTGTATGGTGAGCTCAAGTCATCCATTACTCACCAAGAGCGCCAGACATTGTGTTCAGAAGTAGGGCAAAATTCCATGAAAGGAGGATCAAAAACTGTTGTAATCCCAATACTGAATATTGTAATTCCTTATATTATAATCCCTTATCTCATCTTCCTTGTGGTCAAGAAAACTATTTTTGTAATCCCATCGATACATTATTGGAATCCCAGAGACATAATTCCAGTCTACCACTTCCAGTGCAACCCACAGCAAAGAATAAAGACACTCAGACATATTTATACTTACAGGCAGCCAACGAGTCCTGAGTCCATTCCAGGTGAGGATACATGGAACAAAAGACCTTGGGCCTCTCCAGAATTGATTATCTCGTGAGGAAGGGAGTGGCTTAAGGATGAGTGACAGTGAGGATGGCGGGAACTGTGTGAGCAAGGTGAACTGAGATGCGCAGGTAGAGAGCAAGTACCTCTGTGATCTGCAGAAAGACCAGTCTGCATAACTCAATTAGGGTAGCCTTTGAATGGTTGTAGGAGGCTTTTGTTTCAGTTTCTGATACGTAAACTTTTGCGCCCTGGAAAGTCATAGCCTATCTTGTGGCTTGAACCCAGTTGACATTCCTGGAACTGATTGGCTCTGCCATCCTGCTGTGCTCAACTTTTTTGTAGGGAACACAGTGTGAGGAGACAGGAAGTTGTCTGCTGGCCTCAAGGATTACATATCAGTACCTTAGCTAGCCTTTTATTTGCACTGCTTAGAGCCAACTGAAGGGAGAAGAAAATAGCATAGCCAGCTCTGTACATATCAGTACATGGAGACAGGGTTTGGTTTAA